TGGCTGGGTTCCTGTCTTCCCCGGGCCTGAAAGCAGACACTCTTATCAGCCCTCTCGCTTTGGCCTGTTTACCTTCCTCATGATCTCTCACTAAACCCTGCTTTTTAAATTCCGTGTTGCTTGGAACCTGCCTTCACATCTGATTCCCAAAAATGCAATTCTGCTACAGGCCCTGAGGGTCACGCCAGGACTGTGCCCCACCGTTCACCCAAGTTCCACCCTTGAGGGATCTCTCTCACTTGGAGAATGATCTCCTGCTAGTGTGAATGATCTCAGCACTTCCTTTCCCCAAACTCTTATGTGGCTTCAAAGTGATGCACAAATACATTAATCTCTGGCTTTCCCTCTGCAGACGCCTAACTTGCTATTATCTAAGGTGCTTTTATTTTTTTCACTTTTTCCAAAGTTTACTGATGTGCCAATTGTTGATGTAACTCTACAATTTGGGGAGGACAGCTTCAGTCCTCCAGTGTGCATGTGTTTCGCTCGTCCTCCACCAGTGCTCCCATCCCTTCTTTCCTCCCCCATCACTTCTAGTAATAAGTTTCTTTTTCACAGAATCTAAGGATTATTTTTGTTGTGTTTTGCCGGTTTCTTTTCTTTGGTTATTTATATTCCACAAATGAGTGAGATCATCTGTAACTGTCACTTTCTGATTTATTTCATTTAGCATAATCATCTCAAGACCCATCCACTTTTTCCCAAAAGACACTTATTTCAATAGTTTTTAATAGTTTAGTAGTATTCCATTGAGTCTGTTGTCCTGAATGTTTCTATCCAGCCATCTGTCAATGGGCATCTAGTTGGTTCCATGACTTGTTTATCATGAATAATGTTGCAGTGAGCATAGTTTTCATAACCTTTGGATACCTAGAAGTGGTATTGTTGGATCACATCATATTTCTATTTTTACTTTTTTGAGGGATCTTCATAATATTTTTCCTAGAGGCTACACCAAATCACATTTTGATTTGTTCTGTTTTTCTCCCTTTATTAAAGTAACACTGATTTACAATACTGTATATGATTAGCGAAATAGGTTCACATGTCAGATGTATGTTATTACCAAACCCCCAAGCTTCTATAACCCTTTACCAAAGGCCACTGAGTCCTCTGCCACATTTGTTCCACTCTAGGAGATTCAATTCTGTAGTCATTGCTAGGGTACATTTTTGGTTTACCTCTTCTGATGTCCACATACAGAAGTTTCTCTGAGAGTATATACCCAAGAGCAACATTCATGTGCATAACTGCCTCTGGATCAAATACTGCTAATTTTATTGCTGTTTTATTGTCATAGCATCAGCACTGAGTAAGAGTTTGTTATTTCACATCCTTACCAACAACATCTGGTATGTGCTATGACAGAATGTTTGTGGTCCTTCTACCCCACCCCCCCACCCCCATCATATCTTGAAATCCTAACCTCCAAATGTGATGGTATTAGCAGGTGGGGTTTTGGGAAGTTAGAACTCTGAATGGGATCAGTGCCTTATAATAAAAGAGGCTCCAGAGAGACCCCGAGCTCCTTCTACCATTTGAGGACAGAACAGGCAGGTGCTGGCTATGAGCTGGGATAATGGCCTTTCTGAATGTTACCATGATCATCTGTAATTCCCAGCCTCCAGAACCGTGAGTAAAATTTCTGTTTTTTATAAGCTACTGGGTGATGATAATTTGTTGTAGCAGCTGAAACATATTAAGACAATATGTAATGTGCAAAAATTTTGCAAACCAAGCAGGTATAAGATGGTTCTTATTAGTGCTTTAATTTGCAGTTTTCTGATTATTGGTGAGATGGAAACACTTTGTTTATTAGGCAATCATATTTTCTCTTATGAAAAAATGCCGGTTCATGTTTTTGCCCATTTTTTCCACTGGATTGTCTGACTTTTCTTGTCGACCTGTCAGCATTATTTCTATATCCTGGATGCAAATCCCTTACCAGTCATATGTGTGACAAGTAAATGTTCTCACTTTATGAGTTACTTCACACTTTATCATCTATTGTGTATTAAAGTTCTTAATTTTATTGTAATTGCATGCATCACTTTTTTCATCTGTAGTTTTGTTTCTTTTAGAAATCCATCCCTTCCATTTAATAGTAGATGTTATCACTGAGTACTTTCTATGTTTCAGTACTCACTATTTCCCTCTTACAGGTGATATGTGCAAGGCACAGAGGAGATAAACCATTTGATCAAGATCACACAGTAAATGAGCAGTGGAGTGAAGATTTGAATCCCAGCTCTCTGCCTTCAGCATGTTAACAAACATTCATGTTGCCTCTTTTGTAGTGATCATTTCGTCTCACTCTAAAAATTTTTGAGTTTGCATTTCTCATTAACATGTTTAATCCCAAAATGACTTTTATATATGGTGTGAGATAGCTGGTTCAAACTTTACATCAATAGCTACCTCGGCCTCTTAGGCACACATCATTAGTGAAACTAGTGTGGACTGATTCAGGCTGAAGATGAATTTAAAAAAAAAACAAAAACACTTTTTTGTGAATGCTGTAAATGGTGATTCCAGACAAGTGGGCAACATGTAACCTGCTTTCTAAGGTCACAGTGAAGCCCTGCTCCAAATGATGTGAAACCAGAATAGAATTCTTTGAATTAGCTGAGGAAGACAAATGTCCATCATTTCAATGCTGAGCATAGTAGGTGGTTCAAAGGCTTTGGTGTGCAATAAAGTGAACAGGATATCCCTTGAAGAAACCCAGCAGGACATAGAGGCCATCACAAAACCCTGAACAGCCTCCTGTTCCACCTACACTGCTGGGACTAAAATAACTCACAATGCATTCCTGTCACCTTCCTGTAAACTGTGTGGGAAGGAACACTGGTCACGAATTCCTTGTTTCAACCACCCCACATGCTAGGAGAGCCACAGCAACTGCGCTGGCTTCTTGGGTTCTGGAGAATTGCATGTCACAAGCAACCTATCATATGAAATGTACTAGAAGTTTTTAAGGTGAAATGACTTTTTAAATTAAAAATGAGGTAGAGTTGAGGGTAGAAGAAAGCTGAGGGGGCTAGATTATAAAGGATTTCATCTGCCAGGTTTGAAAAATGTGAACTTTATTGTGTGAGTGGGGATGTTTAGAAACATTTTAAACAAGAAAGCAAGAAAGTAACATAATTTGTTATTTGTTAGAGATGGTATGACTAAAAAAAAAAAAAAAGAAGGAAAATGGTACGACTAGTGACAATCTGGCTGATAGAATGTCCTAAGTACGACTAGTGACAATCTGGCTGATAGAATGTCCTAAGAGTGGTTGTGCCAGGCTTTGCTGGTGACATTTTCCTACCATTTCCAACCCATCCCAATTCTTCCTTGCTGGCAGAACTCACCTCCCACTGGTGGTTGGAAATACCCAACCATTACTTACACGTAGAACATGGGTGGGTGACCCCCTCCTTCCACTTTAGGGAGAAGATTATTGAGAAGATTCTGGAGAGATTTCCCTCCCTAAGAAAAGATACATAAGAAAAGCCTTCCTTCTTTTCTAAATGTGGTTATGTTGTGCAACATGGAATTGCCACCATGAAAAAGGACAAGGTTAATACTTCAGGGATGGCAGAAAAGAAAGGATGACATGGAACCACATAGAATCTCATCCCCTCTGGAAGTAACAAACTATTATTGAAGCCACTTTTATTTGAAAATTCTGTTACTTGCACCCAAAAGCACCTCAACAGAGAGAAGCACAAATAATTACTTAGCATTAGTGACCCACACAAAACTCATGTTATAGAAAATATAAAATAGTATTTTTTAATTCATATGTTGATTTGATATAAGCTAACTCTTAAAATTGAAAAGAGTTAGCTACCAAATGAACTGTTCCTGAACATTTTGTGTTCAAGCAATGAACATTACAACTTCTAAGATGATATAGTTGTCTTTTCTGCTATCTGAAGTTACCCCCCCCTCATTTGCACATTCACTTTAAGGAACAGGAAACATTTTCCCTACTCTCTGCTAGGCAACAATTCTTCTTTCTTGAAAATCGGCCCCCATGAAGTCTTCTCAGTAAAAACTCATGATAAAAGAAAAATCTTAGCATTGTGTAAGCAAAAGAATTCCATGTTCCAGCACTTCTGGCAAGAGGATAGAATCTTCAAGTGAAAAACAACTTACAGTTCGTTGGCAGTAACAATAGATTCTGAATACAGGTAAAACCAGAACATCTGGTTAGAGTTCATTAAGATCATTAACAATTATCTATCATCATAACTTCTTCCATCCAGTAGCCGGCAGTTTTTCGAGCAAATCCTTCTGGTTCCAGTCGAAGGAAAACCCAGTTAGTTTCTGATACACTCTGGGATCCTCCAGGTACCACGGGGGACTCCTTATTTCATTCCAACACAATTTTGTGAGGGCCTCTCAGGTGTTGTCACTGAGATTTAAGTGATGGAATCTTTAATCTCATGCTGTCACATTTTCGGGAACGCGTGACTTTTCCATATGCAAACATTTTTTTTTTTTAATACAAGTGAGAAAAACTACGTATGTGATGGAGCTGGAATAACCAGGTACAGACGGGAGAAGGTGGCTGCCTTGTGTTAGCCAATGCCCCCTTTTCTCTCATTAACTTCTGGCAGCGTTGATTATAAGCTCCCGCTGAGACTGCAAGGGCATTAGGCAGATACCTCTTTCTCCGCCCGGCAGGTGCGGACGCTAAGGCGCAATAGGCGAGGGCGTTCGTCCTGGGCAGGTGCACGCGGGCCCTCGCGCCAGAAGAGGCGGAACAGCCCGAGGCCAAAGACCCCCGGCTTCCGGCGGGCAACAGGAGCGGGAGGAGCGAGAAGGGGCGAGGGCGGGGAGGCGGGGCGGGCGC